GTTAGTCTGATATCATTACTCTCCTTTGCCTCCATTATCCTCTTGCCAAAGTGCTGGGTCTTTACTTCCTTCCTGTGATTAATCCCAGATTTGCTCAGGATGCATTAACTAAGCTTGATGTAGTTGGGTGGCAGATTTTGGCACTGTATAAGCTGAAAATTTCCTGAAGTTAAAGACAAAACAAAAAAGCAATATCTTCCATACCTGCAAATACATTATGCAACCCAAAGTGACACCACTGAAAGAAGTTATCACTAAGCAGATGTGACACACATCACTACAGTGAGAATATAGGTTGATAGGTGCCATTTAGGCGGAGGTGCCCTGTCAAGAACCATTGCTGGGTTGACAGATACTGGGGCCTCTAGGGTTGAGGTGTACTTTTTGCACTTGTCTTCCTGCCTGAGAGAAGAACAGTTTTGTTGAGTTATACAGTTTTGTTGAGTGGATACAGTTTTGTTGAGTTAATTCACTCACACTTAGCAGTGTGCCACAACTCATTGTCCTATTTTGGGGAGTCTACAATGAGCCTGGCTCTAGGTTAGGCACTTTATAATAGCCCTAAACAGCAGGTTTTACCAGGCTCACTGTTTTCTGTGGATGAGAATTTGAAGGCTCAAAGAAGTTAAGCAATGTGTCCCACTTACGTAAATATCGGAGTCCAGATTTAAACCAAGCTTGTGAGCTCCAAGGTCTGGGTCTTTCCATTATGGTGTATGGGAGACATGGGTTTAAGCAGGTTCAGTCCTCTCCTCTGCACATGACCTAGCTCTAACCCTTTATCACCATGTCCTTTAGCCTCTGTGAATCATCCTTTCCTGTTCTGTAAAGTAGGCGTAAGAATGTCACTGATGTTTGAAATCGGCACAAGGGTTGAGTGGGCCGTGCCCACACAGGTCACTTGGCACGTGCCTGCCTGTGGTGGGGCCTGGGCCTGAAGTCCACATTCTGAGAATGTGAGGTTCCATCTAACTCTTGAGGGCCTGGGAAGAAGAACCATGGTGGTTAGGAGTTAGCCCTCTGGATTTGCTGGTGTCTTTTATTCCCAGTGGAAGGAAAACCCAGCTGCTGGCAGCCACCGCTGCACTAGAATTAAATGGATACCAGGCAGAGCCAAGAAGCAAGAACAACTCTTCTTTCACTGATTTTTAAAATGTCACCTAATCGTTATGCAGTTTTTCCTGTGAAATAACTTGAACTATCCCTAACCCCACTTTATGTAGACTTTTGGTTGAAAGTTTCACAAATAGGGTGATTGATTTTTGTTTCTCTGCAGGTGAATTCACCACAGGGTGGGATAGTTCCAGGAGGGACAGCACACTGGCTATTTCTCCAGCATCCTGTAACCCTCCTTGTGTACCTTGGGCAGCATATTAATTTGAAACTTCTGTAGTCAAGAATTATAAAATAGGTAGAAATTCTCTTTGTATGTGTCCAAATACATGAAATGAATCAGAAGTAAATTTTGGACAGTCTGATGATTTGCCTTATTCATGCATTGCCAAGGGGTCACTGGGAGCTGATAAACCGATAGAGCTACCCTGACCTACTGTGCAGGAGTCTATATGTGGAGGAATTCATTGGTTCCCCTAGGAAGCTCTGCCCTGGACCAGCGATGAGATACAAGTCATGATGGCTTTTAATGATTTCTGGTTCTGTCTTTGAGGTTGCTAGAGTCAAAGATTCTCTTTTTATAAAAAAATCAAAAACCAAAACCCCTAAATACACCTTTTGACCTCTGAGGCCAAACAGGGGCCCAGACAGAACTGGGTGACCACTGTGATCAGCATGACTCCTTAGGCCACCTTCACAGCATCAGACCCAGTGGAACTTTCCCTTCCATCACTCTTAGAGACACAAGATGGAGAGGGTCCTCAGCTGTCCAGCCCTTATTCTGGTAGCCACATATGAGTTTTTCCGTGAGATGCTTTGGAGCAACATTTGTTGTGATTTGGATATAGTTAGAATCATAATTCACAACACGCATACAATTACAAAGCAGGAAGGGGATGTAGAGCTCCCCTCAGGCAAATTCCTTCTTAAAGAGGAGGCGATGGGTCCAGAGAGATCAAGTAACTTTCCAGAGCCCACACAGCTCCGCAGTGACAGAGGACACTAGCCTGTGGGGCTGCCTGACTCTTTTCTTGGTGTGATGTTTTCGCCATCCTGTCTCACATCAGTGCAGAGATGTGGGAAGGAAACAGCTCTGTTGTAGAACACTGTGCCCCAGGACAGTGCTGGGCACTTCCACATCTGCTGGTCTTGTCCTCTCAGTGACCACCAGTGAGCCATTTGCCCACGGAGATATTAGCTTACTCTTTCCCCCAGGTGCTGTTGGATGTGTCCTCATCTCCTTCCTCACTTGGCCTCCCTCGCATTCTGGAACACCTTTTGGCACACAGGACCCAAGGAGGTCCCTCAAAGTAGAGATGGGAAACCTAGACTTACCCCACCCACAGGGGAGGCTACAGGTTTACTTACTTCCACCACAGAAAAAGAATTTCAAGAGAGATGCATCAGTAAGAAACATAAAGAGATTTTTAGGCAGAATTTTTAAAGTACACAAATAGAGTGTGGGCTCTGAAAAGAGAGGCACAAGTATGGCCTGGAACTGGGAATATTTATAGGATTTTGGTGGTGGAGGAAATCTGTGGAATTTGTGAATCTATAGAAAGTTTGCGCTTGGTTTATGGGAGAAAAGTGACGGTCCACACACAGGTAGAATGAAAATGTCTCATTTTATACATAAAAGAATGGTCCATTTTACAGGAGAAAGGCAGGGACTCAGTCTACTGTATCTTTTTTTAAGATAGGTGATCTAAGATATTTTGCCTGAAAACATTCTTCAAAATTTTCGAATTTGTGTTTCTGCCCTTTATTTTATCAACTAAGCTAATTTATGATCTTAAAGTATCTTTAAGGGGCTTTGATATGACGGGCCTGAAGAAAAAAGCATAGACAAGCTTAGGGAGTTCAGGTATGGATCACCTTGGATAACTTTAATTGTGTCCTGAAGTTGCAATCTTCTTAAAAGTACAATTTCAAAATCACGAGTGTCTTTGTCTCCTTTCTATGTAGTTTTACTTCTTTTATCCTATCTCACACTGATAGACTTAAATGGCAGGATTTATATGGTAAGCTTTCCCACAGTTGAGGGATGACAGGTAAGTCACATGTACGGGCAACTCTGAATGCAGCAATCATTGCTCTAAAAGAGAGGAAAAGGAGGCTATTCTGGGAAGTGAAGAGAGTGGCTTCCAAATTAGGGGGACTCATGGTAAGCACTGTTAGACCTGCCAAACATGACTGTGTCTTGTGTTTCACTGATCTTCCTCCTCAATAACCAAATCCAGTAGGTGTTTTTGCACTTGACGGTGGGGTAGATAAAGGAAGGAAGGTTGGGTCCATGCCTTCTAAATGTTCAGGCTACAGTTCTAGATCTCAACTTGGTAAGGAATTGGCAACCTATGTTAAAATCATATTACTTTTAGGAAACTGTCATGGAAATAAAAGCTTCTGTTTACTAAGCATACCTAAAAGAACATTTATTGTAATATTCCTTGGAACAACAGGCAAACAAGAGCAACTTGAAAGTGCCTCAATTGGGGTGGAGGTAAGAAGAATGAGGCTTCTCTCCTCAATGAGTTACACATCTTCATAAAAATAATAACTTGGGCCTACATGTAATAACCTAGAAGGACACTTATAATGCATCATTTAATGAGGAAAACACATTTCATTTTAAAAATTAGTATGTGTTTATAATATATAATAATTACATTCATCTTGGGGAATCGGTTTATATACATATCGCATCTTAATAATTTTTACTTCCTCTTCCTCTCTCCCTTCTGAGTACAATTCCATTTCTATACAACATGTACTAACTGCACACATACATAATTTACTTCTTATATATGTGTGCACAAACAAATTTTTATATTAAAAAATCTGACAAAGTTTAAATTTTTAAAAATCTTTGGAGCACAAAGTGGTTAAATGGTCCAGTCAGGAAATGGACTGAATCACAGCTGCCTGTGCTCACTGTGTATTTTCAGGTGGGGCTACCCCCAAAACACCAAAGGTCAGCCCTGCACTAGAGGTGGGCTATGCCCCAAGCTGTGTCAGGATATGGTGCACTGGAGCATCAGTGCTGTAAAACCTCTCACCTGTAAATACTTCACAGGCACATAAGAACCTTGGTATCTGGCTAAAGAATGTGTCCCAGTCGTACTTGAATGGAAGCTATCATGCTGCTGGTGTAGGACCTACAGCCTCCAGGGGCTCCTTGGCTGTATCAATAGATCTTTCTTGACAGGCTTACCTGACTATAAACTATTGATTACAGCTGTATTTAGCCAAAAGAACCAATCTATAAGGTCTCTGCTGGTCTCTGAGTCTATTATAGCACATATTGTATTAGAGTTGATTTTTAAAGAAAGTGAGTGTCTTTGAGAGCAGAGGTGTAGTTTTTGTCTTTTAGTCTGGAATGCCTAACATGTGCTTAACTATCATCATTGCTATATAAGGGATCATAGGAAAAATACACATTGAGTTATTGCACGAGATTGACTGAATGGGAAGTGAATGGCTTTGAGAGATTCAAGAGAGATTATCCATAAAAGATGACCCCTATGAGCACTCTTAAAAGAAAGAAAGGAGTGTACAATCCCCACTAAGCAGAAAAAACTAATTTGGTTGTGACAACATTTTATAATATTTCAGTACCTTAAGGGCTCGTTTCTGTGTTTCCCCTTTAACGAGGTCTGGGTCCCATCAAAGGCCACTGGAAAATATATATCTAGGTCTCTTATGGGTCCTTCTTATCCGAGAGAAAGAGGATTTGATTTTTTAGACTCATAAAACACCAGTGATCAAACTATCGGTGCAGAATTTACAAAAGTGCTTCCCACATATTATTAAATAAACAAACCAAATAGCATTATAAGCAGCTCAAACTCTCAATGAATTAATCAAATATTATCAGAGCAAGGAAGAAATGACATTCCAGTTTTAATGAGACTCAAATTGCTTTGTAGACACTTGTAGCAGTCTTTTGATTTGTTCTTTGGAATGTAGTTTAAGAAATACTTGGCCTTGGGTTAAAGAGAAATAGAGCTGCAGAGGCTTTTGTGCAGAACTGCCCAGGTGTGGAGCTGCGTAGATGTTCAGCCAGGTAACTGACTGCTGCAGCCTTGGCTGGGTTCCCATCTGGCCCAGAAGACACTCAGCACTGCTGGGTTAGCTGCCATAAGGTGGTGATGGATAATGGCTGTGGCCTGATTCTTAGGAGGCATGGACTCACTGCAGCGTGCCATGGCCATATGTGAGTGCTGGCCATGTGCAGAGGGGTAGGGAGGAGGCCACATGAAATGTCTTATATATCTCCCCGTGTTGCAGCTATCACATTGGAATAAGCTAGAGTCCTAGTTCTTCCAGGGAGCACGGTCCCCAGCCTAGAGAAGCTATGTCCTGCTTCTAGGTCTCTAAATTTGGATAGGAAGCAAAGAAAGGCGGGGTAGGACCCTGGAGTTGAACTGCTACAGTCTTCATTTTTAGGCGTCTAGCAGGAGGCCAGAGGAAACTTAAAGGTCTTGTTCAAGCCTCTAATGTTTATACCTCCTCTACATCTTAACCAAGTATTCTAACTGAATATGTGAGTAACTGGAAACTCATTTCTTCTATGGCATCCCAAAAAGCTGGATAACTTTTCCAGTTCAGCCCTTTCCAATGATCTCATTCCAAACTTTGCCTGCCAACTTGCCCCTGTTCAGTCTGGGCTCCTGGGAACTACTTCCTTGCTGGATACAGACCTTTCCGTAGTGTGAGAGTTCTTGGGCACTTAAAGTGCCCTGCCTGTGGTTTAGGGAACTTCTTCTGCAGTTCTTTTAGTCTCTGGATATCTTTATCCATTTGTCTTCAGCTGTGACCATCCATTAGAATTAGAGTCATTAGAATCCAGATGCCCAAACTTCACTAAATCAGTCACCGGTAATGGAAACAAAACACTGGTATTTTTGTTTCCTAGATGATTCCACTGTGCAGCCAAAGTTGAGAGCCAGTACTATCTTGTTCCTTGAAGCTCAATAACTTCTTGAGGGTCATGTTATGTATGCAATTAAACATCCTAGATTTCATTCTTGACTCTTTACCCCACGAGCCATGCTCTAGGCTCCCGACTTTTTGCATTTGTTAAATGGGAATGGTAATAGTACCTATTACAATAGTATCAAAGGGCTGCCAAAAGGACTAGATGGAAATGCATGTAAGTCTAAAAGAATCAATGATCTGCAAATGTGCTCCATGAAGTTTAATTCACCTGCCTGGGCTACAGCCTAGCAAATGTTAACAGGTATTACTCAAAGCATGTTACATGTATGCTTAATGTATTTTCTTTGGTTGAAGGTCTAGCTTAAGCATAATAACATAAGCAAGTTATGACTTAAAGACTTGTTTATCTGATAGGATCTACTGTCCCATATTAGCCATTTAACTCACACCCTTTTTAATTCTTTGTACCTCTGTCACCTCTAGGTCTTCAAAAGCTCTGCACAAGTTCATACATTTGAAAGCATCCAAGGTGATGAAATACAAACTCATCAGTAATCAGCCCAGTGTCTTTTGTTGCCTCTTGTCCAGCTTAAATTAGGCATGTAAGAAATGCCTAGTCAGTTCTGTGTGATTAAACCAGTTAAGCCACGTGAAAGAATATGTTAACTGTACTGATGCAGAGGAGATGGAACAAGACTGAAGGCACCAGAATGGTGGAGGTGATGAGAAAACGGTACTACGAAGTTCTTACTGTGTGCTGGGTACTTTTCACACATCACACATTCTACAAATCTAAAAGGTGGGTGTTCAAGCAATCTCCCACTGTATGACACACTTGGTGTCTTAAAGATACAGTTATTTTGCTTGTAAATTTGTACGTAGGAGGCTGCAGAGCAGGGGCAGTGCCTCTCTGCTCCAAGAAGGCTCAACAAGGGGCTGGAGTGTCCACTTTCTATGTGGTTCTCTCGAGTCCTTCTCCAGCCACTGTGGCACAACCCCAGGAGCCTAGACTTTCTCAGACCCAGGTTGGTTCTGGGTTAGATGGATTGGAATAGAAAACTCTTGCCATGAGAATACAGCTCTCCTTCTCAGCCTCTCCACTCCCCATTCCAAAGGGAGCCGTATCTGTGCTTGGGGAGAAGCCAAGCAAAGCAAAAGATTTCAACAGAGAAGGGAGGAAACACACCCACTGGGGTTCTCATAGCAACATAATCACGCACAGGCAGCAGCCTATTTCGGTGGGAGCCTGTTTCAGCTCCCTCCTCCCTGGTTAGTCACAGAATGGAAGGCACAAGCAGAAGGAGTGTGGGGTGGGGGAAGAGTGTTGGACTGAGGATGGGGAGGCTGGGACGCTGGTCTCAGATGCTCTCCCTGCTTGCTGAAGGACCACAGACAGATGTCCTCCTCTCTGATCTCAGGGTCCTTCTCTGTAAACCAAGACTGGACCAGTGAGCTGTGGGGATCCTTTCTGTTCTGATATTCTTTGATGGTACAAGTATTGAGAATCTTTTGGTAGGGGACCAGGTGTCTCTCAGAATCCTTTATCTCCACGAGGATGCTTAGAGAAAAGAGGTTCCAGTCGGTAAACGTCACTGTCTAGATTTACCCTTTTGTTTCCTTCCACATTCTGCTTGAAGTGGAAGGGGAGGAGAACGACCAGGTGCTGCTGGGGTCTTTGGTCACTCACCCCCAACTCTGATCCAGATCTGTAGTCAGAGAAAGGAAAAGGTTGAGGCGGTTAAGGTCATCCTCTCTTTTGAATTTACTTTTCCCCGAGACACGCGCGCGCACACACAAACACACACACACACACACACACTTCCTGAACCCAAGCCTTTGACTACTTTTTCCTCATCTTCCTCATTCTTGTCTTCTCCTTTCTCTACCCCTGTTTCTGTCTCTACTCACCTGCAGGTCTCTCTTCTCTACTCACCTGGCTCGCAGGCAGAGAGGAGACCTCTTTAGCCCGAAGCCTGATCATGGCCCTTTTATTCAATGGATTCTGAGGTTAGCTGAGGACACTCAGGTTTACACTTGCTGGCTATCAAAGGTGAGGATAAGAGTAAATAGGGCATTCAGAGCAGATCCCTCCTCCTGAGGACAGTGATAGCGGTGTGAAAAGAATCTGGGGACTCAAGGCACCTCTGTGAGGTCCCTGTCTTTGACCATGGGCTGTCTGTTAAGGAGTCAGCCTGGGTGGAAAAGAAGCGGTCCCCTCCCCCACTGTTCTATCTCTCACCGCCTGACAGATGGCCAGTAAGAGAAAAAGAAGCTCTCAAAGTGAAGACAGGGATGCATTGTATAAAAATTCACACCCCCTACTGCCGCCCAAACTCCCTTAAAAAAGGATGAAGAGAATCCTAATGGGTACGTGACATCCTCCCTCTCTCCATAAAAGGGACTTCAAAATCTGGTGTTGGAGGAGGGGGGGAGGGGGGAGAGAAACGTGTGGGCAGGGGGCCGCCAGGGAGGATGGGGTCGAGTCGGGGAGAAGACAGCAGGCGCTTCCGTTTGACTCTCCCTCACCTTCTTTGCCAAGCTACAGCTAGCTGTCACCTTCACCCCACCCTGTCCGCCAGGGTGGAGCCTTGGAGCCTCCAATGCCTGGGACAGGGACAGTGGAGAAAGGGCTAAGTAACGACTGCACACTTCGCCCCAGAGTTGAAGGAGTTAAGGACCCTCCCCCACCGAGACACCCACCCCTTCGCCCCCCAAACCATCATTCACCAAGGAAAGATCCAGGAGTCGGCGGAGGAGCAGGAGAAATGGAGGTCTAGTGTGGTGCAGGCAAGGCACCTGGGTCCGTCCTGCCTGGAGCTCGCCCTCGAGGAGCGGGAGGACTCGCGCGGAAGTGGCTGAGAGCCCACGCGAGCCCTGCCTGGCGCCTGCTTTCCTGGC